TAGAAATCCTCCTCCATCTCTTTTACCTTCCCTCTTGCAATGAATTTGTCCTGTAATGTTTCCATTGCTTTTAAAATAAGAAAAAATTCTCTTCCATTCCCGTAAGGCCTTTCTTGGTCTGATTTCCCCCAAATCCCTCTAGCCTAATCTGCCAACAGGCTCTGCTGTTCACTCTCGTTCCAACCTCTTTTTGCCCACCCCCCCACTCTCCCTCCATCACTCCCCTCCACTCTCCATCGCACCCGCCTCCCCCTCCCTGCAGTTCTTTTGGAAAGGCTGCTCCTTCTGCCTGAAATGCTCTTCCCTCCCTTTGTCTCCCAGTTAACCCCAACTTATTTATTTTACATCTCAGCTAGAGTGTTCCCTCCTTAGAGAAGCCATCCCCTCCCGTGTGACCTGGTCAATCCTCACCCCGCAGCCTCTTACAGGCCCCTCCCTTCTTTTCCCCAGCACGGTCAAAGTTGTTGGCTTTCCTTTTGCTTGAGAGATGATGTAATTAAAGACTGTCAGCTCCATGCGGGTAGGAGTTATGTCCACTTTTGCTCACCATTTTTCCCCCCGCTACCCAGCTGGGAGCCTGGCACATCACTGTCCAATTGCAAATTTGCTGACTGCTGCCCAGGGAGAGAGACAGCAGACAAGACATCAAAAGGGAGGCTGGCTGCGGAGACCTGGATTTAGGAGCCCTGCTTCCCGAAGAAGTGAGAGCTGAAGCAGGAGGGACAGGTGGTGTCCCAGGAGCAGAATGGAGGAGAGGAGGGCAGAGGTTCTTCCCTAGAACACTTGAGGCCAGGCCAGTACCCTTTGCCCACCACACGTCAATACCACAGGAGCCAGCCTGGGCCAGGATGGCTGGAGAGGCTCCTGGGGCCAACCACTCCCACTTGGGCCCATGGGGCTAAGTGGAAACAAATGTTCCCTGGCTTTCCCCCAGCCCCGTTGTGGTGGGCGAGCAGCAGCCCCTCCCTCCTTAGCCCGTGCTCCCCTACCCCCTTTCAAGCTCCCCCTGAGTTCTTTCTCCCGGGACTGGGGGGGGCATGGATAGGCTTGAAAGAGGTAGAAGATGGGAGGCAGGTGGGCTCTGCGGGAAGCTGGGGCCTGGTATAGGGGATTCTCTTATCCCTGCCTTGACTAGAGCCACGACCTTGCTCTGGAAAAGCACACTTTCCTGGCTTCAGGTGGGCTGCGAGTGTGGGAGGAGAGCTGTCTGCGATGCAGAAGGAAGAGGAAAATGAGCCTCTCTCCTCGCTGTCTTTTCTTTTTCTATCTTTCTCCATCTCTCTAAGGGGTTGGTCTTTCCTCTCTCTGTTCTCCAGGGACCCAGAAACCAAGGGCTCTTAGGAATTCTCAAGGCATGTCACCTCCCTGAAGGAATAGGAGTTCCTGGGGACAGAGAGAGGGAAGGACAGATAGGAGTTCTGGGGACAGAAGGAGGGAAGTAGGGAGGGAAAGAGGGAGGTTCTTGGGAGGGGAAGGGTCACAGGCCCAAATTCCTGGGCTCCTGCAGCTTTAGCCATTCTGAGAAATGACAAACAGAGAAAGTGATTTAGAGACAGACACAAATAGAGACCGAATTATGGACATGGGAGAGATGTAAAAAGGCACAGAAAGACAGTGAGAGAGAATCCGCCAGAAACAGAGGGCTTTGCTTTCGCCCGCAGCGATTCTGATGTTATCTATTTCCAGCTGCCTCTCCCCCCCAACTCCACTGCCCCCACTCTGCCCCTCCTTCCTCCTTAACCTTCAGTCTCTCCTTTCCTGTCTCCCTTTTGCGCAGGGCCTAGACATAGTATGAACGGGTTCCCAGGATTTAAGGGAGAGCGAGGAAGGAAGGTGGGGTGGGCAGGGCCCAGAGGATAGGGAGGGGGGTCAGACTGTCACCTCCCCATTCAGGCCACCCGTTTCCGGGCTGCTGTCTTCCCACTCTAGTCTCTTGTGAACATTCTTCTGCATGCATATCTCTGCAGAGGTGGGGTGTGTGTGTGTGTGTGTGTGTGTGTGATGTGTTTCAGCCTGAGCCAGCCCATCTGTGTGTCCGTTCATACCTGTGGGTAAAAAATCACAGCATTATCTGGGGGAGGGAGGATGTCCTGTGGTTTCTGTGGGGTTATCTGGAGGCCTGTGCCCAGTCATTGGTGTGTGTGAGGGGGCAAGTATGTCACATATCTTGATCTATCTTTGTGCACCACGGTCTGTTTCCTCCTGCCACCCCCCTCCAGCCCCTGCTCCTTTGTAAGTCTTCTAAGGTGATACTGGTGGGTTGAAGGCTCAGGAACATCTGAATTCATCTCTTTGGAGGTTTGGGGGCAAAACAACAGAAGTCATCCTCTGGCTCTGCCCAGATGTCAGCCAGCCCCTTGATGAGGATGCGGAGAGGGCAAAGGAGAGTGAGCAGAAGGGTGCTCCTGGGGCAGAAGCCCTAGGAATTGGGACTCCAGGAGTCCTGCTTGTCATAGATTCCAGCCCACCTCCCCGCCACCCCACAACCCTGCAATGCTCTGCAGGCACTACTGGGCCAACTGATTCTGGAATGGGACTGTGTGGGGGAGGGACAAGGGCTTGGGGAGTCCAGAGATGGCAAAAGATTCTGCAAGATCTGGCCAGAGTGAGTGCTGCAGGAGGGGTGGGGCCAGCTGTGTATGTTTGCAGGAAAGGTGGGGGGTGGGGGCAGAAAGGCCGCCTGCGGGGGAGAAGGCTTCTTGGCAAACGCCCCAGTTTCCTGAGCTGATCCCTGCTCCCTGCCACTGCTCCCAATTCTGTTGTTTCAATAACATCATTTTTATCCACCCCACAGAGAGACTGTGTCTTAGGAGGGGGAGGCGGGGAGCAGGGCTAGGGCATGGGGGAGGGGTGGTAATGGAGAGAGGCTGGGGTCTGGAGGCAGCAGGGACTAGATTTGGGGCGCTCCCTCCTCAGGCAGAGGCAGGGCGGTCTCAGAGCCCAGGTCCCCTGATGACAAAGACAAATACATTAAAATTCTTGCCTCGGAGAAGAATGCAGGATAGGGAGAGCATTTCATAATCTGCAATAACAGTAGCAGGGTGGGAGCAGGGCTGGGCAGGGGGTTCGGAACCCAGGCAGTGGCTCCCAGGAGGCTGGCCACTGGCCACCTGCAGCCTCCAGGGACCCCCAGAGCCCTCTAGCTGGCTATTTGGTACCACATGGCCGGAGTGTGCACCCAACCTGGGTATGTCTTTGAATGTGTAGTGTCCAAAGTTGGCATTGACCTGTAGTAACTGTCCAGATTGGCATTGCCCCGTAGAAACAGCAACTGTGTGCAAAGTTACTAGGTGCAGGGGCTCTGTGTGGCATTTGGATAATGTTAAAGGCTAAAATGGGAGAGGGCAGTGCTTGGACCAGACCCTCTCTCTATGACTCCCCTGTTCCCCTTCTTTAGCATGTCCTAGTCCCTTCATCAGAACTCTCTGTATCCAGTACAAGTGGTTGAGCTGATGCAGACTGGACACCAGAGCCCTGATACGGAGCTTGCTTGCAGGCAAGGCCAACACTTTTCCAGTTCTCTCATCTCTGTCTGCTCATTCCTTCCCCCATCTGCCTCCTCCCCTGGGGTCACCTCCCTTAGCCCCTTGGCCTCATCTTGATCTACTTGTCCCCCCTCTCTGGGCGACTCAGGATCTTGTCTTCTCTTTCTGGTCACCAAGGTTGTTTGTCTCTCTTGGAAGTGACCTCAGTCCCCACGATCAGGTCCCCCTCTCCCAACAACCAGGAGTTTTCTTCTGGGCACCTGACGTTTCTGCCATAGGGACTCGATCTGTTCTCCCCACTCCAGGACAGCCTTAAAGGTTGATGGTTGCTCTTAATGGTAGTGGCAGGGAGAATATCCCACACCACCTGTCCCTCAGCACCCTGGGGCACGTCAGGGGCTGGAGGGACAGGGGCTGCTGCCCACTGCCAGCTGAATGGTGTGATGAATGGAGCTGTCCTTCCTCCCCACGGAGCCTTTGATCTCCTCTCCCCCGTGGGGAGGGGGCTGGGGCATCAAAGACATTTTTGTGGCATTAGAAAATCAGATAAACGCCATCTCACCTGCAGCTGGCTCTCCCACCCCTTCTACCCGGGCCAGGTTGGGGGAGGAACTCGAGGCAGAGATCCGTGGACACGGGAGGCCGGGCTGCAGCGAATTCTGACCCCTCGATCTCTTGAAAGTCTGCGACCTGCATTCTCCCGCTCGCTTACACGTGCCAGCGCTTGCGCGCACGCCCTGGAGCGGCTCCTCTTGCCGTCTCATTTCCCCCACCTCCCCGCCCCGGAACGCGGGCTTGAGAGGTGGAATGGCTGGGGAGCGAGAGCGGAGGCCCATGGCTTCCTCCCTTCTTCAAGGAGAGGCTGAGGAAGGGGCGTGCAGCACCGAAGAGGGACACGGAAAGAGATGACCCCTCCAGCATTCGCCTTTCGGGCGGTCCAGTTTGACAACCCTCGCCGAAGCACCCCGCGCCCCAGGCCAACTTCCTCTCTTGCCTCCGCGCCAGCATCTCCCTCTGCACCGCCCCCCGCCCCAAACTCCCTCATTCCTGGGAAGTTTTCTCTCTTTACAGTCAACAAACCTGTCAAACGTCTCCCTTCCAGCCCGTCCCCCATTCCTCAGCTCCTCTTTCTCCCCCCTTCACCCCTCTCTACTCTTCTTCCCCGCTCTTCCTTGCCCCCGACTCCTGGCGGCCGCGAGCGGCGGGGGACTCGAAGTCCGGGAGAGGCGAGGCGAGGGGGCGAGGCGGGCGGGTCCCACAGCCAGAAGCGCGCTGGGCCCCGCCCCGGCACCCCGCTCCCGCCCTCCACCGCGCTCCGCGCCCGCCGCCCCGGGGCGCACGGCTCGCTCCCCAGAGTCCCGCCGCCTGACTGTCGCAACTGCCACCCCCCTTCGGCCCCCTGCCCCCCGCCCCCGCCTCGGCCCCGCTCCCCTCCCACCCCCGCCCCCGGCTCTGATTTCTTCTCCCGAGCGAGCTCCGCAGGAGACACAGGCGCTGGCTGCCCCGTAAGCTCTCCGCCTCCGCCGCGCCCTCCTAGCCCGGGATGGGCCCCCCCGCCGCCGCCGGAGCCCTCGCCTCCCGGCCGCCGCGGTTGAGCTCGCCGCGCTCGCCCTGAAGCCCGGGCCCTCGCGCGCAGCGGTTCGCTCCGCAGCCTCGCCCCCTGCCCACCCCGGCGGCCGTAGGGCGGTCACGATGCTGCCGCCCGCGCCCTCCCGCCTCGGGCTGCTGCTGCTGCTGCTCCTGTGCCCAGCGCACGTCGGCGGACTGTGGTGGTGAGTCCGGCTGTCCTGGAGCGGCTCTGGACGCTGGAGGGTGGGGACTCCGGGACCCAGGACCGATTGGGGTGTTCCGCAGCCTCCGGGCTCTACCTGCTTTCAGAGCCCAGCTTTCTGGCCTCCACCGGGGGCCTTTCTGAACGCCACTTCGAGGTTCCTAACCCCTGGGCACATTCTATTGTGTTTCCGCCTCCCGGGTTCTCCCCCCGCCCCCGCCAAGTTATGCGCTCACCCAGCTCACCAAGGAACAGGCGGGTGGGTAGGAAAGAGCTTTCGGAAAGACACATACCCGAGGAAAAGAATGTGTGAGGAGGGCCCTGGATTCAGGGTAGGGGGCTGGATTTGGAGAAGACAGGAACAAGGTGGGAAGCCACAAGGCAGAGAGGACCACACAGCTGCCCCTTCCCCACCCTGCTTTGCCTACCAACACACCAGCTTCTCTCCGGGCTCCTGTGGAGTGGACCGTAGTGGCGAGAGAGGGAATATAAAGGGGAAAGTGAGTCAGGACCCTGGTTTTCTCTACCTCGTCCTCCCCGAGCAAGGAAAAGGAGGAGAGGAAGGAATGGGACCCAGGCGCCCAGCCCTTCCAGACGTGGGGGTCATGACTGAAAAAAAAATGTGCTGCCTGGGAGATAAGGGACCGGGAGGGTCCTGCGGGAAGGGAGAGGGGCCTGGTCAGCCAAGGGACGGGGGCGTCTTCCCAGGCTTGGCCCTAGCTAGAAGGGACACCTAGGCAGTGAAGGTTGCGGGAGCTTCGAGCCCTGGGGGTGGGGTCGAAGCGGGGAAGGAGGGTGCCCGGCCGGGACGGCTCAGAGATCCAGATCCAGAGGACTTTTTTTCCCCTTGGTCTCCAGAGCCGCAAACCCTCGCCCGGAGTAGCTCAGTGTTTAGAGAGGAGGGACTTGGACTACAACGCTGACGGGTTAGCCAATCTTAAGAAGGCAGGGTCGTGCCTATTTGCATATTGCCACGTGATTGGCTGGTTGTCGACCCTCCGCTCCTCCCTCGCCCCCCAGATTTGGAAGAGAGGCAGATCCCGGTGCTCTGGAGAGATAGGGAGTGGGATGCCCACACAGGGAGCGGCGGGCCGCAATCCTCCGTGATGCGGAGAGCCGTCCCACGCGAGTGTCACGGAAGGGGCGAACCGAGGACGACCCAGGTCCCAACTAGGGAACACATGCCCTTTGATCCGGCTTAGTATAATGCAGTGGCAGCTTCGAAGCAGATAGATCTAAGATCTAAACATTGTGTTTGTGATCTTGGGCTAGTCACTTCCTTTCCCTACCTCTCAGTCTTGACTGGAAATAGGATAACAGTCTCCCTACCTGGCAGGCTTGCTGGGAAGGTTAGGTAGGAGGACGTGTAGAATAGCAGGACCTTAGGAGGTACTTAGTATGTGCGGTGCCCTCCTCACAACCCAGCTTCTCCTGGCCAGGGTCCCCAGGATTGAAAAAGGAGATTCATTTAAATTTAAAATCCAGAGTTTCAAGGAAAATGTTGTAAAGGAATCTCTTTTCCCCATAAACGCCTTTCCTAACTTTGCCCTTTTTCAAGGTATGGGGATGGGGTCCCTCCCTGATGGCCATTGTCTTCCTTCCCCTCCCTCCCCGTCTGTCTAAATCATTCTTATCCTTACAGTTAAAATACCACTTCCACCCTGAAGCTGCCCCCTTGTCCTCCTTCCATTGGCTTCTCTGTGCTCCCACTGTATCACATACATTGGGCAACCATGCTAGTTACTGCATTTGACTGACAACAGTCCTTTAGGTCTCTCTTCCCTGCTCCTGGAAGGCAGATACCTTGTCTTTAGGAGCCCTGAGGCCTAGGAGAGTGTTGGTGCTGGAGACGGGTTTGTGGAGTGTCGTTGGACAGGCTGATTCACATTTCTGGGCTCTATATCTGTGGGGGTTCCTTTGTTCAGGAGGGACTCCTGGGTGGCAGCCAAGCCAAAGGAGAGCGGCCTGGTCCCTGAGAGACTGACCCTGAAGCTAGGAAGAAGGGAGTGGGGGAGGAGGTGACACGGGCAGGTGTGGGAGAACACAGAGGCCTTCATGGCCACAGCTGCAGGGTGTGCCGGGTGAGGAGTGAGGGGCCCCCGTGATAAGGTGTCCAACTGCCTTGCTCAGATGTGCCTCAGAGGGAATGAGCCTCTCCTGCCTGCCTTGGCCCCTTCACTCTCCTCTATTTATTTTGTTTTTCTTTCTTTATTTCTATTTTTATTTATTTATTTATTTATTTACTTAGAGACAGAGTCTCGTTCTGTCGCCCAGGCTGGAGTGCAGTAGTGCGATCTTGGCTCATGGCAACCTGTCTCCCGGGTTCTAGTGATTCTCCTGCTTCAGCTTCCCAAGTAGCTAGGACTACAGGCGCCCACCACCATGCCTGGCTAGTTTTTGTATTTTTAGTAGAGACAAGGTTTCACCACGTTGGCCAGGCTGGTCTCAAACTCCTGACCTCAAGTGATCTGCCCACCTCGGCCTCCCAAAGTGCTGGGATTACAGCCATGAGCCACCACGCCCAGCCTCTTTTATTTTTTATTTTTTGAGATGGAGTCTCGTTGTGTCACCCAGGCTGGAGTGCAGTGGCACAATATTGGCTCACTACAGCCTCTACCTCCCGGTTCAAATGATTCTCCTGCCTCAGCCTCCTGAGTAGCTGGGATTAGAGGTGCCCACCACCACGCCTGGTGAAATTTTGTATTTTTAGCAGAGACAAGGTTTCACCATGTTGGTCAGGCTGGTCTCAAACTCCTGTCCTCAAGCAATCTGCTCACCTTGGTCTCCCAAAGTGCTGGGCTTACAGGCGTGAGCCATTGCGCCTGGTCACCTGTCTATTTCTGACACTTCATCTCTTTGGTCTGAGCCCAGACCCCCTTCCCCTGGATCTTTGACTCTGCTTACACTCCTGATCCCTCCCCACCCCACCAGTGCCCTCCAAGGTCAAGTGTGGGTTGATGGGTTGGACCAATAATTCCCACTGGCCTGAGGCTCTTCCACTCCCCCAGCCCCCCAGTCTCACTTCAGCTGGCATCTTTCCCAGTAGGGACTTCCAGGCTGTTCCCCGATGCCCAGGACCTGCTTTCACTGGCCTTCTTCTCCCTACTTGTCAGAGAATCCTGGCCGGGTCAGAGCTCCAGTGCTGGCCAGGAAAGCAGCTGCAGCGGCCTCTTACATCCCACTCTGATATTCTAGCAGCAGCCAGGCTGGAAGCAGAGAGGACCCCAGGACCTTTGAGTGACTCAACTGTCTTGGTCAGGAAAGGGGAGTCCTGCAGGGGTGTGGCCCATGCCCTTGGAATTGGCTTGGAGACCTGACTCCAGGTTCCTGAGAAGTTTCTCTCCCACCTTTTTCACTCCCCCTCCTTACTCCAATGTGATGCATGCTTTCTAAACTCTGCCTCCAGGCCAGGCACAGAGGCTCAGTCCTGAAATCCCACCACTTTGGGAGGCTGAGGTGGGCAGATCACTTGAGGTCAGGAGTTCAAGATCAGCCTGGCCAACATGGTGAAACCCCATTTCTACTAAAGATACAAAAATTAGCCAGGAGTGGTGGTGGGTACCTATAATCCCAGCTACTCGGGAGGCTGAGGCAGAAGAATCGTTTGAACCTGGGGGGCTGAGGTTGCAGTGAGCCGAGATCCATGCCACTGCACTCCAGCCTGGGTGACAGAGCAAAACTCTGTCTCAATCAATCAATCAATAAAAATAAACTCTGCTTCCAGCCTCTCTGTCTTTCTCTCATCTGTAATCATATCTTTGTGAATTACAGAATCCCAGATTCCAGGACATTGGCCAGGCTCTCTGGAGGTCATCTTGTCCAGCCTCATTGCATCCAGGTTATCCAGCCTATGCTGTGGCCCTGTCAAACCCTGTCTTGGGAGTGAGGCAGAGAAGGAGAGCTTCCCAGTCACCAGTTCCCCACTTCTGCTCTGCTCCCTGCTCCAGCCTTGCCCACCCCCAGGAAGTTCTTTACAACATCTGACCCATCGTTATTTATACCTCCAATCAATGAATGTAGAAAATAGCTCACTCTCATAGAATGGTCAAATCAATCGCTCTCTTCCCTCTTCCTCTTTCTGTTTTTTCTTTTCTTTTCTCTTCTCTTCTTTTTCTTTTCCTTTCCTTTCTTTTCTTTTCTTTCTTTTTGAGACAGTGTCTCACTCTCTCACCCAGGCTGGAGAGCAGTGGTGGGATCTCAGCTCACTGCAACCTCTGTCTCCCAGGTTCAAGTGATTCTCCTGCCTCAGCCTCCCGAGTAGCTGGGATTACAGGTGCCTGACACCACGCCAGCTAATTTTTTTAGTATTTTTAGTAGAGACGGGGTTTCACCATGTTGGCCAGGTTGATCTTGAACTCCTCACCTAAAGTCATCTACCTGCCTCAGCCTCCCAAAGTGCTGGGATAACAGGCATAAACCACTGTGCCCAGTCCTGTTTCATATTTTCTATGAAAGAAACTAACCCTCCCCTTGTTCCACTAGGGAAAACACCACCCAGTGTCACTCCCTTCCCCCATCCCATCTTGTCTTTCATCCACCCCCCTCCTGGAAAAGGAAATGGGAGCCAGAGGCCTAGGACAGCCTCATCTGGCCCCACAGGGAGGCAGGGAAAGGACCCCAGCTTCTTTGTGGCAGTCAGGTTTTCTAGCTGCCACCCCCAACCCAGGCTGGGCCTGACCACCCTTTCCCATCCTGTCTTTATCTGGGGCCCTGACCCATTGCGGGCAGTCCTGTTGCTGGCCCCTGCTGAGCTCCAGGGTGGGGCGCAGAAGGGGGTGGGTTGGCCATCCATTCCCCCCTCCAGGCCTCCCGCCTTGGCAGCTTCCCCTGAAGGGAGACAATGGGGCTGTGAGCAGAAAAGGGCAGGGGCAGAAGGAGGCTGGCCCAATCCAGGCCAGAGCATGCCCTGAGCCCACCAGAGTTCTGGCACTGAGACGTTTCCTGGGGGGTGCAGCCCCCTCCTGCCCTGTTCTCATCAGAAGCCAGGAGTTGATGGGGAGA